ATATATATATATATATATATATATATATATATATATATATATATATATATATATATATATATATATATATATATATATATATATATATGTACATGTATATGCATATATACATATATATATATATATATATATCAGGCAAGTGAATGTTAATATTTCCCTGCTGAAGCATCCTAGCCTTCGAAATCACCAGCATGATTTCCAGTTACCGACGAAAAAGTATTAATTTCAGGAACATGATGATGCCTGACATGGTTCACGCATTTTTGCAACTGCAATCTTGCAAAGTATATCCTAGCAGAACTTAGAAGTTAGCAAAAGTAAGACATATGAAAAGCAAAAATTATAGTTGGATAAACTCACAAAGCTATGATGACATGTAACCACATGTGGATTTTGATTTATAACTGCACCAATATCTGAACAATCCATCTCATCCGAACGATCCTTGCAATCCGCTTCACCATCACAAACCCACATTCGAGGAATACACGTCCCACCCGATCGACACTAACATAACATTTTGCAAATAATTCATAAAAGTAACAAACGATGGTAGCTCAAATAAAGGCAATAGTTACCAATGGTTTGATAAAAATAACTTCAAATAAATCTAACTTGAAATTTCTCGGTAGCATCACATGTCGTATTCGGGCATTTTCCGTGATCTTCATCCGAACCATCACCACAATCATCATCACCATCACAAAGCCAATTTTTGAATATGCATACACCGTTATCGCATCTATACTTAGACGTGATAGTAAAAAATTCGAAAAAATATCCCTTCATAATAATGGATTACAGTGACATATTGCCTTTTTAATACAGTGAAGCATAGATGCTGTCAGACCGAAAGAAGAAAGGCATCGGCCGAAAAAAAAATGGAGAGGAAGAGAAAATGAAACGGAAATCTGAAAATACATACTGGAACTCGTTTGTGCCACAAGTCCTTGTCTTTTGGCAGTCTTTTTCATCGGACATATCAACGCAGTCATTTTGACCATCGCATTTCCATGTCATCGGGATGCACATTCTAGCATGACCTTTGTATTCTTCACATACAAATTGATCTTTTTCACATGTTATGTCTGAAAAGCATTTGTCGGTAAGAATGTTTTAGTATTTTGGTTTCAATATTCGAAAAGAGTTAAATTTTTCCAGTTAATTCAGTCATTTCTGTTCGTTATCGATAATGAAACATCGATTTTGAGATAAGACATGCACCCCTAAAACAATAGTGGAGGAAGCCGGATCTTTAACAATATTGAATCAATTTCGTTAATTTTACAGTTTGGAAGACTCTACACAGTATAAGGCTTTCTTCTATCACGCTTTGCTTGATGAGAAAAAAAAAGACAGTATGCAGCATTTTAGTTCTAAACTATGCACTGTTATATACTGAAAAACTTAGTTGACGATTTCTCATGCTGTAACATAGCACATAACTGCACATTTTATAATAGCTTATAAAGCACGCGAACTAAAATATTGAATAATTGTGCAAACATATACTGCACAGACTTTGGCATCCTTTTTCGTCCGATGAGTCACGACAATCAGGTTCTCCGTCACATACCCAAGTTTTTGGAATACAGCGTGCTGGGTAATCTCGCATTTTTGAAGCATACAATGAAAGGCCGGTTGAATCACCAACACATTCAAATTCTCTGTCCGTCTTGCAAGATATCCGTGCTGAAACAAAATATTCTAATGCGCAAAAGAAAAAAAAGAAAAATTGCCATTACCATACTTGAATATAAAACAAATATCTGGTCGAAAAAGTGTTTTAATCATCATGTCAAAAAGCGCACAAATCAGAATCAGTGATTTCAAAGAGCATAAGGTTTTCTTTATTTTCCTGATTGAATACATGCATTAACAAAAAATTTCCAAAAAAAGTGTTTACCTAAAAAAAATTACAGATTGTTGTAGGATTTTAAATGATGAATTAATTTAAACACATGACTTACAACATTTATCTTCGTCGTCACCTTCCGGGCAATCTTCATCACCATCGCAGCGCCATGAAAGAGGGATACATTTACCGTTATTACACTTATACTGATTGTCCGTAGAGCATTCTACAAATAAAGATTCATTCAGCAACAACAGGAAATAAAAAATATTCCAAATTTTTGCTCACTGCATAATTTTGATTAGTTGATAGCAAGCCGAAACAAATATAACTCTCTAACGAAACAAGACCTGAAAATTCACCTTTAATCAGATTTGAGACTTAGGATAAGATAGCTTTAAAAATTCATTCATGACTACAAATTTTCACTTAGACTGGTAAGCCTTTAAGGAATGATAAAAACCGTTTTAATTAAATTATTTTTTAAGTGACAAAGAATCTGACAAATTTTGTTTCAAAATTCCATAAAATGATAAAACTTAAATTATTTATTCAAAAGCTATTAATGGAAATGAATTTTGATGAAAATATGAATGCCTCAAGAAACTAATCTTAGGGAACAATACTTACCTTTATTTCCTGTTGTAGTAATACCTTCAAGAAATCCTACTGATGTAACGAATATAAAAACGGCAATAGGTATGAACATTTTTGGTGAAGATTTCGACATTCTTTTTCAGATCATACAATACAGATGATATTACAGTCGTTCCATGCAATAACACGCTGGATGATTGATAAGACAAGCAAAAGAGATAAAAGATGGAAGTAGGGATAAAACTGACAGAGTATAGAAGCAGAAGAGTATGAAACGTTCGTCTGATATGCACTCTCCAAAGGGGTACTTAACTGCCGTCGATACTGTTCTCAGTCGCAATATAGCAAAAAGCAATTGATAATATAAATGAATGCGTATGCACTTATGAACGTATCTGAAATCAAAAAATCTTAGCTTATTACAAATATTAAAAATCATATTGAAATTATACACCAAAACAATTGAAATCACCGTATATGTTTGGCCAGAATTAAAATCATTACACTACCGAATCTACTGAATACTACAGAAATAACGTGACAAAACTGCTAAAATTATCACACGTACTGTGCCACAATAAATATGATTTGTCACAACTATCAAAGTTAACTATATTTTTAGCATGTAAAAATACTTGTGATGCACATAAGTTTATACTTATGGTGACAAAGCAAATTCGAAAATCCAATAAAAAAGAAAGACGTCATCATCAGCCGAACGAATGTGATTTATGTGCGTATAATCGTAACATAGAAATACATATATATCAATTATCAATGCTGTCGTCCTTATATTAATCAATTACTCATGCTGTTGACAACGACTGTTACGCAAATACTAATGTAATAGTAAACTTGAATTAATCATAAAGAGACCTTTAATTATATCATAACTTTAAGGGTATCATAATAATAAGAACCACCGAAAAGTTAGATACTGGAAGGTAAGTAACAAATGTTTCGAATAATAAGAGTGAAGCAGCAAATATGAAGAGAAATGAATCGCACTGATAAATGATGATAAGAAGTTAAGGAATTGGCATGAATAATCGAAAGCTTCCAATACAAGCAGAACAACTGCGACAAAACAGGAATGATTCGAAAAGAATGAGAGGAAGAGATAAAGAGTAAAATAGAAATTAACAGTTCAGTGCTGACATGAGACAGCAACTGAAATATACAGCAAGAAAATTTGTCAGATAACTTCTAAACGTTAAAATTTGACGAAAAATATTCATCAACAGGAGTGGAAAAGAATGGAAGAGGGAAAGAGAAACATAATGACTTTTTTTTTTAGCTATGCTAAAATAAAACCAATAATTGGAAAAGTTCTTTTTCTTTCATAAAATCAAAATACAGACAAGATGATTTCCGAGCAGAAATTTGAAACAGCACAACAAATATCTTCTTATCTTTGTTTGTCCTGTATTAAGCAATCTAAGAAAATTTTGCAAAAATTTCAAGTTCATATTCTTTGTCCTTTATCATTCCAAGAAATCCAGGAAAATGTTCGTCCTCTCTATCATTTCAAGCAATCTATGAAAATTTTACAAAATTTTCAAGCTGGGAAAAAAAGGAATGATTGGTGAAATTTGCAAAAAATAAAATCAATTTAATTTTAATCAACAACATATATGACTCAATGCAAAATGTATTTAACATTACAAAACCAGAATCATATTTCAAGCTCTATTATACAAGATGATATCAAGGATTAATTAAACTGATTAAACATTTATGATATATTTAGTATTAATGCAAATGCATATTTAAATTAGGTCAAACATTAATGCATATTTAAATTAAATACTATAATAATGATGACAATGGAAAAAAAAGAAAAACTTGCATGGTAAATGGTAAATAATGTTTATAAGATAGTAAATAATGTTAATAAATAAATGGTAAATAATGGTAAATAATGTTTATAAGATATTTCAAAATTAAGTTAACCAAAAATTTAGAATAACTTCTAAGAGTTAATGTAACATAAAGTAAATATGATTTGATTAAATTAATTTCTAAAAACTGCAAAAGGAAAAAAAAAGAGCTCATTAATTTTTGATGACCATACAAATTATATATATATATATATATATATATATATATATATATATG